GGGTGGTCCTCGGGCGGACGAGGCGAAGTAGTCGGAGCCGTTCAAACACGCGCCCGAGCCACTCTGCCGACTCGGGGGTCACCCTGCGAGATATGGGGAGATATGGGGAGATATGGGGAGATATGGGGAGATATGGGGAGATATGGGGAGATATGGGGGTCCACCCTGCCGCGCGGGGGAGCAAGGAGGATCTCGCGCGCGAGAGTTGCGATCTCGCGCGCGAGATATGCGATCTCGCGGCGATCTCGCGCGCGAGATATGCGATCTCGCGCGCGAGAGTTGCGATCTGGCGCGCGAGAGTTGCGATCTGGCGCGCGAGAGTTGCGATCTGGCGCGCGAGAGTTGCGATCTGGCGCGCGAGATATACGATCTCGCGCGCGAGAGTTGCGAGTGTGTGTACTCGTGCCTCGAGCGTGTGCACACGCAGTGTGAGCGCTGTCGCTGCTGTCTCTCCCCTTCTCGACGGTCTGTGCTTGTGCGTCTTGGGCGTGGGGTTGTGCTTTTGCGTGGGCGCGTGCTCCCCCTGCCGCTAGTCCACACCTGCCGCTAGTCCACACCTGCCGCTGGTCCACACCTGCCACTAGTCCACACCTGCCGCTGGTCCACACCTGCCGCTAGTCCACACCTGCCGCTGGTCCACACCTGCCGCTGGTCCACACCTGCCGCTAGTCCACACCTGCCGCTAGTCCACACCTGCCGCTAGTCCACACCTGCCGCTAGTCCACACCCGCTGCTACCGCTACTCCGGCACTACTCCGGCACACCGATCAGGATGCCGTGCGACTGGAAGGGCGGCGACGGAGGCCTACGAGGGAAAAAGAAAACCAACCTCGGGGCGGGGAGGCAGCTGCGGGGAGGCGGTGTTGTGTGCGGCGTCTTCAGAGCACCGCGGGAGGACGAGGGGGTGTGGTGGGTGGTGGGTACAGCTGACTACAGCGGAGTGCGGCCGAGGAGCGCCGAATGCGTGCGTCGTCTCGAGCGTGCGTCTTTCTGCCTCTGGCGGCGGAGATACGGGGAGATCTGGGGGAGATCTGGGGGAGATATCATTCTGCTTCTAGCGGCGGAGGCCTCCGTGGCAGCGGAGGAGGCGACGGCGACGGGGGGTGCCAGGGCGGCATGGACGGGGGCGGCGGCGAGGGCGGCAGCGAGGGCGGTGGCGGCGGCGGCGAAGGCGGCGGCGGCGCGGGTGGGGGCGGCGGCGGCGGAGTGGGCGGCGAGGGCGGCGTGGGCGGCGAGAGGTCGAAGAGCGTGTGCGAGACGAGGTGGCCATAGTCGCTCACCTACGCGAGATCACGCGAGATCACCCGGGATCACGCGAGATCACCCGGGATCACCCGAGATTCCCCGAGATTCCCCGAGATTAGGGAGAGGTGTCCGTAGTCGCTCACCCAGCGGGAGATATGGGGAGATATGGGGAGATATGGAGAGATGTGGGGAGATATGAGGCCGAGCCGCCGACGACGTTTGGCGCGGTTGGGATGGGCCTCGCCTTGGCTGCGCGAGAGATGGGGAGAGATGGGGAGAGATGGGGCGGGATGGGGAGATATGTGGCGCCTCGCCTTGGCTGCGGCGCTCGCGGCCGCCTGCTGAGTCTCCCCGAACGAGCGCTGCGCGGCGGCGGCCTAGGTCAGGTCAGGTCAGGTCAGGTCAGGTCAGGTGCACTTCACCGCACACACACGAGGGTGGTGGGGCAAGGGCCGGGCTAGCCCCTCTGGACTCCTCGTCTAGACCACAGAAGCCCCGAGCGGTGTGGAATGTGCCAGGACCGGTACGGCCTCGGCCAGCTTGCGACGAGACTCAGAGCGACATCGCC